TTTAGTAGTGACGTTACCGTGATCTCAGGAGCGTTGTCATTTAGATCTAGCACTTCTACCAACACTTTGCAATGAGCAGACATCGGAGGCTGACCTTTGTCACTTGCCTCCGCATGGATCTCAAATGCACGATTTTCTTCATAATCGACTTTACCCTTAACTGAAATCACTCCCGTTTTTGAATTAATTTCAAATAAATCTAAAATATGATCTTGGCCTTTTTTTCTCAAAGAATATTCAATTTCACTGTTTGAACCCTCATCTGTGTCTGTTGCATTCAGCGTAATCACCGTCGACCCACTGGACAAGTTTTCAGGAATTTTAATTTTGTACAAAGACTTACTGAACACGGGATGGTTGTCATTAGTATCCATCACGGAAATGATAATAAGCGATGTCCCTGACTTGGGTGGGTTTCCTCCGTCTACTGCAGTCAGTGTGAGTTTTATAACAGAATCCTGCTCTCTGTCTAACGATTTCTGCAGTACTAACTCAGCAGACACGCTGTCTTCTCCTTTATGAATATCTAATGTAAAATAATCGTTATTACTAAGTTTATATGTATTAACACCGTTTTTACCGACATCCAAATCTGATGCCTCTATCAGTCCAAATTTGACTCCCGGTAAAGTATTTTCTGGAACATCAAGCGACTGCAGCTTCTCAGAGAAAACTGGTGCGTTGTCGTTTATGTCTTTTATATTTATCTCTAAGCGATAAAGCTTCAGCGGGTCGTTGATCACCGCCTCTACATTGACAGTACATTTTGAAGCCCTTCCACAAAGCTCCTCGCGGTCGATTCTTTCGCTGACATAAAGAACACCAGTTTTTAAATTCACATCGAAATACTTCTTCTGTGATCCACTAACAATCTGAAACCTACGAGACTCTAAATCCTGTACATTGAGATTTAGATCTTTGGCAATATTTCCAACAGATGTCCCAGTATTTTCCTCCTCCGATACAGAGTACGAGAGCTGTCCAGACACCGCTTCCCAGCAATAATTCAGCAGCACGGCCACAGAATAAGCCCGCAAAATATCTGTTTTTGTTGGGAAATGCATGATTAAATCCACCGAAATCAGGCACACTTTGTGTCCACCAGCAACCGTCAGATATCCGCAAACAAAGGCAATCACAACAAGTCAGCCTGATAAATTTTTCGCCCTTTCTCTCTCGCTCTGCGCCTCTTTGTTACAAAGCCCAGAGAAAGATCATCCTCTGTTTCTGGGTGGAGTCTTATGCCTTTAGAAATAACATCTAGATGTCATGGTCTTCAGTGCCACCATCTGGTAATGTAAAATAACTGCATTTAAGCTTTAGGAACAGCAACAATTAAATGACTACCCACCCGTCCAAGGCGATCAACTTCTCATTAATTATGAACATAACCCTGTTAACTTATATGTTATGGTGCATTTCAAAGGATTTTTTTTTCCTTTTCCCATTCTGATTAATTCTCAGTTAACAAAGAAAAAAAATCATAACTTTCCTCTTGGTGATACCCCGTCTAAAAGTACACGAGTTATAATTGACAGACCTTATTGAAAATATTTCGACACCAGAAAGATACAGCAAGAACTTACTACTATTATGACATAAAATAAACACATTTTCCTAATTTCTAAAAGTATGAGAGCGAAGGTGATTGAATAAGCGGTCGAATAACCTTGCTAAATGTGATAAAACAAACTTTACACCATTCTCCACTAAGTAAAAAGATCTATCATGAATTGTATGTCAAGTTTCCAGGGAAAACACTTGTCTTTGTCGACCGTGCCCCAATTAAGTCCCCTGATGCACCCTCCAAATGACCGGCAACTTGCACCTTTCTGATTTCAGCACCACGGAGAGCGACAATAAAGTTCTGTCTAAACTTGAAAGGTTCATGAACTTTGTTTATTTTGGCTTATTAACAACTGTGCATTTCAACTCAACTCCAAACCGATAAAGAAAAATCACATCTTTAAATAGTTTGTGAAGTTAGTACTAACATATTCCACTTAAAAAACAACAACAACAACAATAAGCAAACAAAACATGGAAATTACCCAAGGCATGGATTTATGCATTGCATAATTTTTGCTAATTTCTTACCTTCTCTTTGGTAGGTAAAGTCTGAGTCCTGGTAAAAGTGTCTCCT